AGTAAGTTTAGATGTTTTATTAAAGTTTAGATGTTTTAATAAAGTTAGTTTAGATGTTTTAATAAAGTTTATATGTTTTATTAAAATTTAGAAGTTTTATTAAAGTTTAGTTGTTTTAATAAAGTTTAGATGTTTTCAGACTGAACCGTTTTATTTAATGTTTTATAACTTTAATGAATGTTTTGTGTCTTCAGACCTGCAGACCATTAGAAACTGACCCCAGCAGCGACGATGTGCAGCCTGTGATTTCTGAACAGTGACATTAGAAGAAAGTAATCATTTGTAATTTCCTGCCTTCAGTTTTATGATATTTTCTTTGGAGCTTTTCGCTCTTTGAGCTGAAACGTTCCCAGACCTGAAGCGTGCATTTGATCTGCTCTGTTGTTGGATTTAAAGCTGAAGCTCTGCACATGTGACCAGACAAATTAGTCCTGCAGCACTTAATGTATTCAAACGGCTGCCTGGAACGTTCAGCTCCATTAGGAACGATGGCTCTGACTGTCGGAGAAGCTAACCGCTCCTGAAAAGGTGACGGCACATTTGGCTGCCATTTGCTGGTGGAAGAAAGTTGAACTTTGGGGCCATTTTGATCTTTAATTCATGCTGGATGTGGAAAATGTGCTGATGCAGAGATCACCAGACTTCAACACAAACTCTGCTTTTATGAAATAAATCTGCTCACAGTCAGGTCTGTGGAGGCCCAGGACTCCTGAAAACAGCTGAAACCAGGAAGTAATCAGTCCCCGTTTTCACCTCAGCCGAAAACTACCGTGAAACAACGAGCTGCTTCGGCTGTTAGCCTCAAAAACAGCTAAAATGATGAGAAATATCAGAAACATGTCTTCTGTCCAACAACTTCCTGTTTTTAATCCAGTTAACCAAATTTTAGCTTTATTCATCCAAACATAACCGTCACATCAAATGTACAATAAATTCATGTTTCAAGTGAAATTAAAGCAGAGTTCCTGTAAAACTTTCAGTGTAAAACTAAGAAAAACATAAAACCTTCATTTAAAACAAAAATATTTACAGCAATTCATCTGCTGCAGCCTGAAAACATCCTGAGAATCTAAAGATCTAATCCAGAGCTCCGTTCCTCATGAACACTGTGTCTGCTGTTTCCTGACTGACAGGCTGACTGACTGACAGGCTGACTGACTGACTGACAGGCTGACTGAATGACAGGCTGACTGACAGGCTGACTGACTGACAGGCTGACTGACAGGCTGACTGACAGGCTGACTGACAGGCTGACTGACTGACTGACAGGCTGACTGACAGGCTGACTGACAGGCTGACTGACTGACTGACAGGCTGACTGACTGACTGACAGGCTGACTGACAGGCTGACTGACAGGCTGTCTGACTGACAGGCTGACTGACTGAATGACAGGCTGACTGACAGGCTGACTGACTGACAGGCTGACTGAATGACAGGCTGACTGACTGACAGGCTGACTGACAGGCTGACTGACAGGCTGAGTGATTGACAGGCTGTCTGACTGACAGGCTGACTGACTGACAGGCTGACTGACTGACAGGCTGACTGACTGACAGGCTGAGTGATTGACAGGCTGACTGACTGACAGGCTGACTGATTGACAGGCTGACTGACTGACAGGCTGAGTGACTGACAGGCTGAGTGACTGACAGGCTGACTGACTGACAGGCTGACTGACTGACAGGCTGACTGACTGACAGGCTGAGTGACTGACAGGCTGAGTGACTGACAGGCTGACTGACTGACAGGCTGAGTGACTGACAGGCTGACTGACTGACAGGCTGACTGACTGACAGGCTGACTGACTGACAGGCTGACTGACTGACAGGCTGACTGACTGACTGACAGGCTGACTGAC